AGGCCAAGTGCCCACTAATTCTATGAGTGAGAGTTTGAACAAGGCTTTCATGTGAAGTCACCCTCGCCAAAACAAAACACAGTTCAATAGTTCCTCATGGTGCAGGCGTAAGAGGGGTAGATGGCTCTGTGTGCACAAATGGACTCCAGACAAAATGTGTGCATGTATGTATATAATCAGAAATAAAGGAAAGGCAGTAAAAAAGAAGGATATTTTTATTTAATTTTTTTCAGTTGGTTTGTCTGAAAAGTGAGTTGGAACGAACCCAACCTGGTCCAAAGGAAAAACAATGGCTGGAGTATTGTGGAATTGTCTCACTCTTTTGGAAATTCAATTCAATTCAATTTATTTTCAAATTTAGATTCATTTATTTGTCAATTGTAGTAAAATCACATTGGAATACATACGCAAAAGTCCCCAGTGTGTACCAGACAAGCACATACGTAAAACTAGCCTGGTCGTACCACACCATGGTACAAATGACATTTCATACTAAGGTCTGCAGGCGCTCCATTGAGCTCTGTTTACAGGTGGGAGGGGTTAACTCCTTTTGCAGATCACGTATGAAGTTGTTAGCATTTATCTTAGCCATCTCCTTTGCCGCTAACGGAGCCCGTGGGGAGTAGCGCCACAATCTTTGCCAGCGATAACTTTTGCTAAACATTCCTCTTGCTCCGGCTTCAATTTCTTGATAGAACCAGACCGGAATACTTTACTATCGCATTTTTCGCCATTGCCAAACTACGACCTTCCGTTCGACGCAAACTCTTGACGTCACCCACAAAAAACTATAACACCCGCCTTCCGCGCTCTCTGATTGGTCGGTCGAAATACAACGGATTTTAATCGCTAACACAGGGACTAGACCCAGACGTTGCATGCAGGGAAATGATGATTGACCGGAGTGTACGGATGGCTAAGGCCAGGCTAACATAAAACTAGTATGAAAATAAAGTACAGAAATGAACTAACAAAACAGGAAACCATTGACACTGTGAAATCGATCGACTAAAACAGTTTCAATACAAGGAGAGACCTAAATCATAACAACAGATGCAGGATTTTTGAAAGTTGGTGATTCGCCAACAACAGATCAGAGAATCAAACATTTTAAAAACAGGAAACACGTAGAAGCCATTGGTCCATAAGAAGAGGGATGTCCAAAGTCCAAAAATATCTTGCGGGCCACGAGATGCATCCTCAAAAAAGAGAGGATGTATCTCAATGAGGCGATCCTTGAATAAATAAATGGATAAATTATTGACATTTTTATTGTACTGAATAATGAGACATAGGAGTCACAGATTATCACATTATCGCAGTTATGTCTTCTTAAAAACGCATGACAAAACACAATTGACCCAGGACTGTGTTTATCCAACCAGAACATTTTTTGAAGTTCTTAAAACAACATCCCTAAATTGTATAATTACTTTTGAATCCTCCTCCATTGAAATTGCACTAACGGCGCCTTTAGGACCAGCAGAGACAAACCGATGAACCGATGCTGGCAAAGGTATAGGACTGCTCCAACATAATTGATCAATGCTTTTTGTTGTTGAAGTTTTGGCATAGTTCTCTAAAGCCTGTCTTGGCTCCCAATTGCCGCTTCACTCCTAAATGACGCCTAAATAATCCACCGGGGGATTTTATCATATCGCACAAACATCCAATTAAAAACATAAAAGCAACATTAGCTATCGCGGATATAAGGGGATGCTTTGTACGCTGCTTCGATCTGATGTTGCCGCCAAATGAGCTAAATCCTTGATGACAAAAGTTGAAAGACTCCTGCAGCTTAGCCCTAACCTCAATAGTGTGGCAGTGGAGGGACACCGAACATAGAATTAAACACAATTATAGAAAAATGTTTCCAACCCTGGCGAGAAGGAGAGAAACCAGAGAAGCTCTATTCATTTGTCAGAGCCTGAGGTGAGAGCGCCAGTCCTTTTCATACTGCTCTTGTTTGATCAGCCAGGATAGTATAGCTGCAGGTATCATCAAAACGACATCATCCAATTCAAAGGAGACCGCGCGCCCCAAGCACTTTCCATGCACTTTATCAGCTTTAAAGGTGATGTCTGCAACTTCAATTGTATCTCATTTTGAAAGGAATACAGAAAGTTTAAGCATATGTATTTTCTATGATAAGTAATATACTATAATATGTGTATTTAATCATAAATAGATTGAAAACATTCCCTCCCCTTGTAATAATCATCAGTAAGATACAGTGGAGGAGAATAGGTAGACCAATAGTGAGAGGCCTCAGCTGTCTATCAAGGATATATTTGGTCCAATCAGGAGCCAGTGGACTACAGGAGCCCCTCCGACTATAGATCCAGGACTGTAGAAGGACGACTGAGGCTGTGTAGTGCAGGATTTCGGAGGCACCCCGGCAGGAAAGGGGCACACCCAAGCCCCGGTGATCAAAGATGGCGCCCTATTCAAATGAATGGCTTGTGCTCAGTAGCGCATGGGACTTCACGGAGACCGGGAGATTTGCAGAACTGGGCATCGTCTGGTCCTCCCGGTTCTGCGCAGTGGATATTCTCCCATGATGCGTTGCGCCAAATGTGTGTGGCTCTCATGCACGTGCACAGAGGGGCTCGGCTGCGCTTTGACCAATCAGAGCTGCTTATCAGAGCAGAGGCAGAGCGGAGTCAGAGTGGGAAGGAAAGGAGCAGAGTTTGTGGCAGTAAAGTGTGGATTTAAAGAAAACTTAAGGATTAAGAAGAAAAAAAGTTCAGGATGACAAGGGACACCAAAATCCCCACAGCATCTGATCTTTATGAAAGTTGTAGGTTCTTTCTCAGCTGAGGTTGAGTACATTTACATTGAGTTCTATGGGAGTTTTTTCTGGGTAGCCCGCATGAATTTAGTCTGCAGTAGAACAGGCGCCTCCTGGGCCCGTGGGTGGTACAGCTATAAGCTAGTGATACCCTATCCAGTTTTATAATAGATCCATGGGTATTTTATTATTATTATAGATCCATGGGTACACCCCGGGTTTGGGGATGTGATGACCCCAAGTGCACACCCTCTAAACGTCTCCAGTCAAATGACCTTCTCGCCAAATGTAAACAGCAACATATTAACTCATCTGCACAATATGGTGATGTAACTGACTGCTTCTCAAAGCCGCAGATGCGATAGCGGAGGACGTGTGTGCGCTTCTTTGTAAGCCTGAGTGTTTGTGTTCTGTGCAGTGCCATGTGAATGAGTGCACAACAAAGAAAGTCAACAGATTAGGTCAAACTGATGCGGCTGCGGCGGCGGCATACCACATGTTTTATGATGTGAAACACCAAAGGAAGGGCACAATCATTACATTCACAAGGGCCACCGTACAAAGAGCTTTTCTTATTGAGTTTTAGACATGTGTGGAGGGAGATAAGACATTTATTTTTTATAAATTGTATAATTGTAAAGTGTAATTATACACTTTCCTGAGTACCAAAGAAAAGTTATTATACTGTACATTCTGCCCACACTGAATTACCATAGTCATTTTAGTTAAAGCTGATCTAATCTATCTCTGAAACCACAAAAATGGGACTATATAATAACATCTGTCTAATTTTGATGCTCTCAAAACAGTTTTAGCACTGTTTTTCTGTTTTTTTTGTGTGGCTTCTGTCACATCTTTAGATCAGCCTTTTCAGACAGAAAAGGGAAAAAGAGAAGACCACCCTCACTCAGCCCAAAGTGTCAATTAGTAACTCATAGGGCTTTCCAATAAGATGATGAAAGCATGTTGTGGTCTGATTCACAAGCTTCTACAATAGTGAGGGTTCATCAGCTTTAAGTTTGGGCTGGAAGAAAATTTGACTAATTTTTGCAAGTATATAATATTTAAAGGAGCTATACCCGTTTCTGCAAGATCTGAATGTTTAGCACAGCCATCTAGTTTTATTTGCGATCTGATACATATGCAAACATTACCATGAGCGCAATTTCTTGTAAGTTCACTGATGAAATGGTACAAAAGCAACGCACTGCTAACAAAATATACAACTGAAAGATTAACGCTAGTTCCGCGTCTGAATGTCCAGCCATAGATAGTCCGAGGCGGTCCCGCAGGTCTCTCCCATAGACAAGTCTCTCCAGAGGATACGATGTAAGCTAGCTATGTTCACCCGGGCTTCATTTCTTCTTTGATAATTTTTTTGCGTTAGTTCCCTTTTCTCTTCTTCACTGTTGTGTTGTTTGGGCTGATTTGCTGTGTCTGCAGTTACTGTACAGCCAGATGAGTTATAGCCAATTCTGCTAACATGCTACTTGTTTAGGCTAGAGGACGCAGCTTCGTTCTGAGAGTGAAGGAGAGTGGGCGTCACGCTAAAGTCTCTACTCAGCACTTTTTACGGCCTGAATTCAGTTTTCAATTAAACTACGGATAATAATACAACTTGTATGTAGTAATAAGCATTTTTATGAGCTCATTAAAAAAATAAAAAATCGGGTATAGCTTTAAATCAATGATTCAGTCCTCCAAATGTGGGATAAATCATGCATGGGGCGGCTGTGGCTGTAAAGTGCCAAACTGTTGTTGGACACCCCACATTGCCTAGAAGGAGTCTGGTGAGTGCGTGAATGCTTGTTGTCTGTCTGCCCCAGGGCAGCTGTGGCTCCAATAGTCTATCCCCATTGTGTATGGAGTAAATGAATAACGACATGTGAAGAGTCTTTGTCCTAACAATATTTTATTTGACTTTCTAAACCAGTGGAGGAAGCTGCTCAGATACAACCATGTGCTGTCAGCATGGACTAAACACTCACTCCTAATATTTTGCCTGCATGTCGATTGAACCTCAGTCAAGATAGTTCATTCATGAATATTCTAAATAAGGTTGGTCCCAATAAAGTTCCCTGGGGCACACCAAGCGGATGGACACAACACAGAGACTGCTCTGTTGAATTCAACTGTTCGACTTCTGTCAGGATAACCTTGACTCCATGACTTTAATTCTTCTCCACCTACTATAAGATCCTCATAACCCATGAAAGCTGCAGACCGTGGTGCACCTGCAGATCAGAGCAGTGACTCAGTGATATTACGGCATGGCGGTCGGCAGATGACAGGTGAAACCCCTGACATAATATAAAGCCTTCGCACTGCGCTGTCTTTCATTTTCCTTTGATGAATGTTAGAGTGTGCGTACCCTGAAATTACAGATGACTATCAGCATGGCATTGGGTAGTTTGTGGGCAGTCACTTTAAGCACCAAGCATTTTCATTTTCAATTTGTTTTAATTTGGAAAGTGTTGATCATGCACATATTTTGTTGACTGGTAAAAGTCTCACAATGATGTTTTCTGTACTCAAATGAGGATCTTTAAGTTAATGTGCTTTTGACTTCCAAATTAAAAACAAAGTTTAGTGGTTAAGTGTGAGTAACCATATATACACATTTGGTCATGAAGGTATACAAAATCCTATGGAGCATGTATATACATATTTTCATCAATATCTTGTCAGTGCCATAAATACATTCAAAAAAACATGTTAAATTAATCTTTTCTTTTAGCTAAAATGTGACTGAAGGTTCAAAAAAAGTCCCTAAAGTTGACATTTGGATACAGCTTCACTCACAAAGGCTTTGAAGGTCTGTTTGAACATGATCAGAGTATCCACTGAGGCTCTGTGATTCTTCTCTTTAGAGACGTTTAGAATCTTCTGATCAGGGTTAGGTTCTGTGCCTCCCCAAGGTACATTTCCCATAAGGATAATGTTGCTATGTCATGTGCACCTATAACTATAACAGTCATGTTTTGTCAGGTGTTTTTGATGTCAGGATTGAGCTTTGATTTGGAGGGAGGACCATTGGGCAAGAACTGAATGCCCAGGTCCTTATCCAATCCTATCCTCAGTCCTTCAGGAGGAGGTGTGTGTGTCCTCAGTCCTTCAGGAGGAGGTGTGTGTGTCTTCAGTCCTCCACGAGGAGGTGTGTGTGTGTCCTCAGTCCTCCAGGAGGAGGTGTGTGTGTATTTCCTCAGTCCTCCAGGAGGAGGTGTGTGTCCTCAGTCCTCCAGGAGGAGGTGTGTGTGTCTTCAGTCCTCCACGAGGAGGTGTGTGTGTGTCCTCAGTCCTCCAGGAGGAGGTGTGTGTGTCTTCAGTCCTCCAGGAGAAGGTGTGTGTGTCCTCAGTCCTCCAGGAGACTCCAGGTGCCAGGAGAGCAGAGTGGGCTCCTGATGCAGAGCCTCTGCTTTGGGGATCAACATAAACAGTTGTACACAGATCCACTGGTTTAGAGGAGACCTCTCCTGGAAGCAGAACACAGAGTTCGGGGCTGAGCCGCCGTAGGGGCCACGATAAAGAGAGTAATAGTTAGACTGCGGTCACATTGGTATGCAGACACTCATGAAAGCACTGCACGACCTGTTGCTTCTTGCAAATTCATTTGCTGAATATTGTGAAATTCAGATCCTGATGAATATTGGGAAAATATGAATTACAAATAATGCATAATTGTGACTAATTCTCCTTTTTCCACATTTCTATGATTGTGTCTATACACATTCACATGAATTTTGCGGGAGCTTCCGCTCGGGCCCGAGGTTTGCTGACCTGGTTATAGTAACTTTGGTGTGAAATTGTTTAAGGCAGAAAAATAGCAAAAGACATTAGCTCCAGAATCCAAGGCACTTTCTATAGAGTGACCTGGCTTCCCAGCAAATATTTCTCTACATTGTTCTTAGATTTAAAATAAGCTTGTTCATTTGATTATTACACATAAAAAATGCTAAAAGTCATGATATTTCTTATTGGAGACAAATATTATTGAGTACAATTAACAATAACAAACCTTCACCGTGTCATTTTGTGTCAGCAGCCACAAAATGCCCTACTGTTCTAAAGTGGCTCTAAACCAGGTCCACAGTCTGTCTGCCCTCCTATTGGTCCACAGGCTGCAGTCTGGTGCCCCCTGTGATTGGGCTCCTGTAAATCTTCCCATCCACAGTTCCAAAGCGTTTCTCTGTGACGCCTCGGCCTGATCTGCTGAGGCCACATGCGCCGAGTGAAGGGAATGAGAAGTGTCTGTTTGAAGGACAATGATCAGGGTCATTTTGTGCATGCTGCAAAAGCAAAATCGATATTGTTCTCTCCAGGGTCCTGTCTGGTGGAGTGTGATAAGACGACATGTCTGCAGGCAGCTCACAACGGCACGTTACAAAGCTCAAATATATTCACCTCCTTGACTACCTTTTCTCTCCTCCACACGATTCTACAGGAGACCAAGAACTGGCAGGATCATCATTTGTCAAGTGCATGGAGTGATCAAAATGCCTTTTATTCTCTGACTTTTATTACCACTTGAGTTGTGTGGTCTCTGTTGTCCTTTTTCTAACAAGGTTTGCCTTGTTATTTTATTGATTTCATGTATCAATCAAATCAATCAACTTTTATTTGTAGAGCCCCTTCACAAGGCAACACAAAGCGCCTCACAACCCATATCACACCAGGCATAAATCATAAATATTAAAATCTACATAATCATAAAACAAACATTCCTGTTGCATTTCTTTAAACTTCCTAATTTTAATATCATGTATTAATATTGTTTATTCATTGCTGCTTTTATGATCCGGTCTTCTCGGAGTCGGGTTGTTTGGGAATGCAGCCCAAAGCGGGTGATAAACTCCATCTAAGGCTAAATACAGGCACGAGATTGTCACAAGATGAATTGATGGAGGACTCAAAATGCAAGAATGCCAAAAAATAATTATTTAATTATATCAAAATAAAAGTCCAGGTTAAAACTCAAAAAACAAGGCACAAACAGCAAGGAAACAGGAACAGAGACTAAGGGGAGAGACTAAAACTAATCCACAGATAACAGATGTCAAAATAAAACAAAAATACAAAAAAAAATCCACACCATGACAGAGATACGAGAAAGTCGACAAGTACCAAAAGGAAAAGTTGAAAAGAACTTTGAGGAGAGAGGACGAAGGTTGTCACCGGTTCTGTTCACTGTATTTATGGACAGAATTTCTAGGCGCAGCCAGGGGTCGGAGGGGGTCCGGTTCGGAGACCACAGGATTTCATCTCTGCTGTTTGCGGACGATGTTGTCCTGTTGGCTCCAACGAACCAGGACCTGCAGCATGCACTGGGACGGTTTGCAGCCGAGTGTGAAGCGGCTGGGATGAGAATCAGCACCTCCAAATCCGAGGCCATGGTGCTCGACCGGAAAAAGGTGCCTTGCCCTCTACAGGTGGGTGGAGAGGTCCTTCCTCAAGTGGAGGAGTTCAAGTATCTCGGGGTCTTGTTCACGAGTGAGGGAAGGATGGAGCGTGAGATTGACAGGCGGATCGGTGCAGCGTGCGCAGTGATGCGGTCGCTGTATCGGACCGTTGTGGTGAAGAGGGAGCTGAGCCGAAAGGCAAAGCTCTCGATTTACCGGTCAATCTTCGTTCCCTCCCTCACCTATGGTCATGAGCTTTGGGTAATGACCGAAAGAACGAGATCGCAGATACAAGCGGTCGAAATGAGCTTCCTCCGCAGAGTGGCTGGGCACTCCCTTAGAGATAGGGTGAGGAGCTCAGTCACACGGGAGGAGCTCGGAGTAGAGCCGCTGCTTCTCCACAGCGAGAGGAACCAGTTGAGGTGGCTCGGGCATCTGTTCCGGATGCCTCCTGGACGCCTCCCTGGGGAGGTGTTCCGGGCACGTCCCACCGGGAGGAGGCCCCGCAGAAGACCCAGGACACGCTGGAGAGACTATGTCTCTCAGCTGGCCTGGGAACGCCTTGGGGTCCCCCCGGACGAGCTGGAGGAAGTGTGTGTGGATATGGAAGTCTGGGCGTCTCTGCTTAGACTTCTGCCCCCGCGACCCAGCAACGGATGAAGCGGAAGAAAATGGATGGATGGATGGATGGATGGAAACCGGTCGGACCACTTTAGTCCTCCAGGTCCCGTCTACATGAGCCCGCCGAGAGGATGGAACCTTGTGAATTATACATTTATTAGCATCGATAGACATGGGTCATCCCGCTCCCTCTGGACCAATGCCTGCAATGTGTTTATGTTTGTTATTTTTGCATTTCCTGTTTGAACTGTGTGATTCTCTGATCTGTTTTTAATGAATTGACAACTTTGTGAAGTGATTTAGGGCAATACACAAATACGATCAATTGAACTGATGTATGTTTACTGCTAACCTAATATTCAATGAGAGTTAATAAAAGCAGTACAATAGAAGCCTGTCATTGCACAAGTTTCACTACGGCTTAGTTTTAATCTCATAATTACAGTTATAAATGTTTTTTTTAAAGTTATGTTCCAGTTTAATCCCAGTGAGCAATATTTACTCAAGATGTACAGTTCCTAAATCATAATCCTGTTTCTGTGGGGAAATACTCGTTCTACTGCACTGTATTCACTGGTGCAGCGAGGGACGAGTCTTCACAAACTTCTTTACAAATGTCTTTCTAAATTTGACTTTTATGTATTATATTGTATTATTATGTATTATATAACTCTGAAAATATATCATCTTCAAATAGAACAATACAGCAGGCTGAAACTATTTATTAATCGCAATTAATGTTACGTTTTTCTCAATAAGTGACAACTACGAATTGATAAAAGTACAGAGAATTCCACATTCAACAGACCTGGTTCAGACCTGGTTCAGACCTGGTTCAGATACGGTTCAGACCCAGTTCAGACCTGGTCTAGACACGGTTCAGACCTGGTTCAGACACAATTTAGACCTGATTCTACTGCTTTTTCCTTTATAAAGTTGTCCTTGTAAAATATATGTTTGAAAATGCTTAAATAGCTCCACGTCGATCTTAAACTGTTGGGAACACCGCGCTGTGACTTTAAAAGACTAATTGTGACAGTTGACACGTATCCAAACAACACGCCAACCTTTTCCCACCATTCTCTCAGGTATGTTCTCTCTGTTTGCTGTATAGGCTGTTCCTTTTTGATTAAATTTACAGGAATTTCTGTGGGAAGCTGCCGATAAAAGAGAGGATAGATTCTAATATTTATTTTCTTAGTCAAGTAAGATTACTCCCTAGATTAGGGAGTTGACTTTATGATTTTATAAATGAATTGTGAGTACAGTTTAGATTTGAGGAAGCGATCATCAAGGCTCGATCAGAGTGGGCCCAGACGTTCCTGAAGGGATCTTGGCCCCTGTGAGCCGCTGTGTGAAGGCCCCTATAGGAGCAGGCATTAGCTGAGTGATCTAATGAAGCATACTTGAGTGTTTATGGCAGGAGCGGAGCAGCAGCACCAGTCGGGGCTTGTTTGCTCTGAGAATGCCCATTAACGTGGAGTTCGCCCTGAGGAGATGACCACCTGAGCTATCAAAGCCTAAAGAAGCCCACAGAAGCTCCTCCTAGACCCTCCTACCCCCATCCCTTCCCCCGCCCCCTTCTGTCCTGTGCAGGCTGATGTCACTGTTACCTCCAGCCCGGACCCCACCTCCAAACCTGCTCCATAAACATGATGTAGAGGCTGCTGTGGTAAGAGCGGTGCTGTAGAAGGTTGCATTGAATAAGATAGACAAAATACTGTATCAAATAAATTCATTTTTAAATCACTAATTAATTTCATGATTAATTTTCCAATATTCAACTAATGCATAATACCATAACAAGATGGAAGAATGGCTTGTGGCTCTAAAAACGTATAAATATGAGTATGGCAATGTTTCCTCTGTCCTCCAAAGAGAACTTACTTTCAGTCTGTTGTCCCTCTGTCTGAATGCATGAAACCGACTCCCTGGACCAGAGGACACGTCCTCGGCCTGAAAAGGGTCAAAACAATCTTCAGACTTTCAAAATAAGTCTAAAGTCACAGCACAGTGCACCCAGGACCAGAGAGAATCACATCCTTATAACAGATACAGCGAGGGCAGCATTCACGCGGAGTAATGTAAACATATTCAAAAAAACATTTTTTATTACAAGGACAACTTTATATAGGGAAGAGCCGCACATGAAAACGCCACACATGTCACAGCTTCACTCTTGTTCCACATGTTACGCTGTTATTATGCAAAGTGTTTTCCCTGGTGTGACTTGCGTGCGTAGTTTTAGAACCTTCACGCAACGGTTAGAAAACAGTTTTTATATTGTTTTATGTCTGTCTACTTTACGCGCAGTGGGAATAAGGCTGTGGACCTGCACCAAAGTTGTGCCTCTTTATCCCTTTTGTTAATGCTGTCATGTTTTTTTTAATGCTTTTTAACTGTTATTTTGTTGGAT